CTAACTGTGTGGTCTCATGAAGAACAGCATTTTATATTAGCATGCTGCTACGTATTCATTGCCCATACGATTAGGTTCAACGTCCCCCACTTCTAGATATCAAGTTTTATGAAGACAGTAACCCTGTGATCCTTTCTCATGGCTAAAATATTCCCCAGAGTTTAGCAAGGTTGGACATCAAAACTTGTTTCATACCTATTTGTCAAGTGGACACACAGTGTCATGGGTGGATAGGTGCTGTTTCAGTCCGGGGGCTCCCAGTTGGATACCTGTAAGTTCCTTCTAGAGAATATGAGCCATTCTGAGGGGCAAATGGCTATATAAAGAAGGACCCCGGAGAGTGCAAGGCAAATCATGTGTGCTGACTGAGGAAGGGCCTTCCATCATCTTCACAGGATTCGTCTTCCTGCTGGGACTCCCTCGACAAGGAACACACGTAAGCTACCAGTGGCAGGTGTGGGAATAGGACTTCTGAAAATCCTGTGGATCAGCAGCCTTCACCTGAGTCTGGCCCTGACCTAGCTATCACAATATAGACACCAGAGGCTAGTGTCTACGGGGGCTAGAAATGACAGTGTGGCCAAGGAAGAGATGCTTAAATGTTGTTTTAGTCTCTCATGGGCATTAAAACTGAAAAACTGAAAATCAGGTCTCAAGAAAATTTAAGACTGTTTGGGCCAATGTGAAAATATGTAAAAGCTGCAAGTTTTGGAACCAAAGACAGGCTAAGTATTTCCTAGTGAAAATTCAGACCACACTGTAATTGTTAAGATTCCTTACATTTTAATGACAATAACAAAAAAAAGACAAAATATCTCATTAGTAATTCTAACATCAATTATATTGAAAGGGTATTTCAGAAATATCTAGGTTAAATAAAATACATGATTAAAAATTTTTTTTCATTTTATTTTTATTTCCCATCTACATGTGTGTTGCCTGCATATATGTACATGCAACACATGCATGCAGTGCCCATTGAGGTCAAGGAGGCATTCAAATGCCCTGAAATGGGAGAGATGGACGGCTGTGACCTACTATGTGAGAGCTAGGAATTGAGCCCAGGTCCTCTGGAATAGCAACCAGTGCACTTAACTGTTGAGCCATCTCTCTAGTGCTGGGTGAAATTAATTTAACTTTTTAAAACTAGTGCTACTATCTAATTAAGAGCTGAGCTGAAGAGACGGTTCTATAGTCAAGGTTCAATTCACAGCACCCACATGGTGGTTCCCGACACCGTTGGCTCCAGTTTCAATGGATCTGATAGCCTCTTCTGGCTTTGCAGGAACCCACACATGTGTGTACGTACACACAAACATACACACAAATAAAAAAAATAAATCTTTAATTGTGTATATAGACATACTATATTCCTATTGGACAGAGCCATAAGAGTGCTGATTTAGAAAAAGTATATTCCTTTCCAACCAGCACCAACTAAGTTTTAAACAGACATTGCAGCAGTCTGTATCCAAAAAGGACAATTAAAAGAAAAAAAGTTTTTCTTCCTGAAGTGAAGAAATAACCATACTAAAACCAGAAGCGGTATCTGCCTGAGAAATACCAAGAACTGTACAAAAGAAGCATAATTTATCTTCTTCCACAGGGAGCTCTGATGTTCCTCACAGTATTCTGAACCATGAGGGAGTCGTAGATGATGGAGACAGACTTTTATGTGTAGCCTGGCAGATCAGCTGAACTCAGAAAGAAATGATGAGAGTGACTGTAAATTGCCTGGCTCTTCGGAAATACCTTTCCTCCATAGATCTTGCTGCTTTCACAGGTTCTAACTCAATCTTTCACAACAGCCTGCAAGGTCAAGAATTCACCTCCAATAGGCTGGTGGGGAAATAGGAGACCTTGGTGACTAGCCTAGGGTTACAGAGACGACAGGCAAGAAGGATCCTGTCATTCATACTCGATCCTGGGAAAATGCCAACCAGTCAATCTCTCTCTCTCTCTCTCTCTCTCTCTCTCTCTCTCTCTCTCTCTCTCACACACACACACACACACACACACACACAAGAAAAAGAAAAAACACTTTCTTCCCAAAGTACCAACCCCATCACCTCCTAAATAGCCCCTTGTCCAAGAGGGTTGACATTCTTTGGTAAAAGACCCAAACTCCTGATTCTGTGAGGTACTTTGCAACATGGAGCAAATTGTCTAAAAGCTAAATTGGGGCTGGGAAATCATGTCCAATTCTTTGGAGAAGGTGTAGATCAGACTTGTCACTCAAGATGTGTCCAAGTGATTGGAAACACTGATATATTTGGGACCCTCTGAGTGAGATGGGCACCTTCACACCACCCCAAGAGTTTGAAAATCACTGACTGAAGGGCATAGGCTCCATTCCCACATCTTTTGCTATCAATGACTTAGGAAGGTCCACTTACACTTTAAACAGTTTGTACCCCCATTTCTCTCTCCCTCTCCCTTTCCTTCTCCCTCCCCCCGCCTCTCTCTCTCACACACACACACTTTTCAAGTTCTCTGTACTTACTTCTCTATAAGGTCTTTAGTTCTGCCTCTCCAGTAACACCTTCTACACAGGCCACCATACTGTCTTTTTTGTGCAAACTGAGCACTCCACTACTCAAAGGCCTTTTGGCCGGGAGGACTGAGCACATGAACATTCCTACCCACGCCATGGCTAAGTGTGGGGCAGGCGTTTGTTTCAGGAAACAGTCTGAATGTGGATCTTTTCAGTGCACACCCATCACAAAGCACCATACACCACTAGCAAACTCATTCCTTTCACCAAGCAATATGTTGGTTCCTGTGTTTCAAATCATATGCTGTCCGGGTTTGCTTTCTCATGCTATGCCAAGCACCATGACCAAAAGCAACTTGGGAAGGAAATGGTTTACTTCATCTTAGAGTTCACAGTCCGTCGTGAAGGGAAGTCAGCGCAGGAACTCAAGTAGGAACCTGGAGGCAGGAGCTGAAGCAGAGGCCATGGAGGAGTGCTGCTTCCTGGCTTGCTCCCCATGGCTTGCTCAGCCTGCTTTCTTATACCACCCAAGACCACCTGGCCAGGAGCAACATCACCTGCAGTGGGCTGGGCCCCCCCACATCACTCACCCGTCAAGACTTGCCCAGAGTCTATTCTGACAGAAGCATTTTCTCAGTTGTGTTTTCCTCTTTCTAGATGACTCTAGTTTGTGTTAAGTTGACAAAACGACCCAGCACACATGGTCCACACACATCCCGACAATTTTTATATTTTAAAAAAGTACAATACAGTCCTTATGTCCTGTATTGCTGCTGTGTAGGCAAACTAAGAGCCTGGCAGGGCCGCTGGAGGCCTCTGTGCAAAACTGCAGCACCTCAGAGGTGGAGGGCACAGGCCTGCTGCAAGGGTCAGGGCATCTCAGCCCCGGTTCCATGCAGAATTCAGGTCCATTTTACCAGATCCTCCTGCTTCTTAAAGAGAAGCTGTAAATCTGGATTTTTATATGAAATTTCTCATTTTTTAATCTTGGCAACTAATTGAATTTCTTTAAACAACTATGCAGGCCAAGAAAAACACAGCTTCGGGCCAAGAGCTGCATATCCCCTCCTCGGGAGTATGCTTTCAATATTCCTAAAAGTGAAGTCTCAGAACAGTAACTTAAGGTTTAATTTCAGTGCCAGGGCTATAGCTCACTTGGGAGAGTGAGTGCCTACCACACTTGAGACCCTGGAATCAATTCCTAACATTGCATAGACTGGGCATGGGGTACATGCCCGTAACTCTGGCATCCCATCGTTCAGGAGGTGGAGGCAGGAGGAGCAAACTTTCAAGGTCACCCTCAGCTATATACCAGGTTCAAGGCTGGGGATACACAAGACCCTGTTGAAGAAAAGAAAAAAGGAAGGGAGGGGAGGAGGGGGAGGGGAGGAAAAAAATCAGAGAAGGGAGGAGAGAAGAGGAAAAGAGAGGAGGGGAGGGGAAGACAGGAGAGGAGAGGAGAGGACAGGACAGGACAGGACAGGACAGAGTCTCAGTTCAGGGTGCATGTGTTCCATGATCCCAACAAGTGAGAGCTGGATAAGGAACCACCTAGAAAAAGCAGACCCTAAGCTTGGACTTTCAACAGGTACTAGGGAGACAAGGAATCATCTCCAAGAACACAGGTATAAGTTGGGTGGCCACACCAGTGGGTACTTACACGGACAAATGTGAAGATAGGAGATTCTGAGGAACACTAATGCATCATTTTTAAGCTAGGCTTATTTAGGTCTAAATTTAACCCCTCTGCATGCCCAGTTGTATGAGTTTTGACCTATCTACAGAGTCCTATAAAACTACTATCACAATTAAGATACAGAACATTGTTATTACCCTCACCCCTTCCTGTATCCCCCCTTTATAAGATAGCCACACTCACAATCTCTGGCAATCTTTGGCTTATTCTTTTTCTCTAATAGGTTCTTCTGTTCTCAGAATATCATCTGAGCCAAAGCATTCAGTCTGTAGCTTTCTGAATCTGACTTCTTTTGCCTAGCATCATGCCTTTGAAGTTCGGTCTGGTTTTCATGTATTTTCATCCTCTTCTGTAAGTAGCTTTCAGCTCTGTAGAAGCATGAACAGTTCATCTACCCATTAAGTAAAGGGCACTTGGTGATTGTGAGCTAGACACTAGGAATATTCACACAGACATTTGTATGTGAATATAGTCTCCATTTCTCTTGGCTACTCCCAAAAAGTCGGATTCCTGGGTCCCATAGCAAACACATGCTTAACTTAGTAAGCAACTCTTTTGTGGGCCTGAGGAGGGGGCTCAGCAAGGAAAGTGCCTGAAGCACCAACAGGAAGACCGGAGCACAGATCTCCAGCACCCATGTAAAAAGCCAAGGCTGGCAGTGGTGGCGCACGCCTTTGATCCCAGCACTCGGGAGGCAGAGGCAGACGGATCTCTGTGAGTTCAAAGCCAGCCTGGCCTACAGAGCGAGTTCCAGGGCAGCCAGGGCTACACAGAGAAATCCTGTCTCAGAAAAAAAAAAAAAAAAGCCAAGCATAGCAGCTCATGTTTATAACCCCAGCAGCAGGACAGGGGAAGGGAGAGAAGATTAGTGGTGTTTGGAGCTCATTGGCCAGCCTACCAGTCCATGTACTACAAGTTCAATGAGAAACTCAGTCTCAAAAAAGTGGAGAGGAGACAGACTTTAAGATAGACACCCAACGTCAACATATGTGCACACACATGCACTCATACCCGCTCACATCAGTGCACACATCCACACTAATAAGTACATGTACTACATGCACAACACAACACACAGACACAAAATGGTGAAGAAGAAAAGGCACTCACTGTTTTGCAAAGTGGCTCAACAGTCTCTGAGAGTTCGCCCCAGCCCCGGTCGCCATGCTGTCTTGGTTTTGTTTCCTTGTTTTTGAGCTCTTCTCATAGGTATGCAGCCCACACCCACTTTTGATGGATTGCAGTAAACATGTAGAGCGTTGTCCTCTAAATCCGGGGTCTCTGCAAAAATAATTGTGATTTCCGATACAATGCTCTGCCCTTGCACACACTGCCTTCCCTGTCTTCAGTACATGTACATGTGTCATTAGGTGAATTTTTAAATTTTTAACCCTGTTCAAATCCCCCAACATGACTGATTGCCACTCTGGTAATTGGCCTCATGCAATTACGGTAAGTGCCAAGGGGATGGAGGGACACTTGGAACTGCTCTTTCAGCCGCTAAAAATGATGCTGAAACCAATGTAAGCATACAAGAAGTGCTCAGACTCGAGTTACATATTAGCAGGGTTTGGTCTGGCTGGAGCAGAACACAGCTCAGAGAACACTTCCATTTACAGCTGTTGCCAAGCCTCCCTACCTGGACCAGGCGAGACTGGGCTTACAAGAGACCTTTTGAAGAGATGCAGGAAAGCAAGCAGCATACACTTCCTGGCAATAAACGTAAAAGTTTGCTCCAACATTCCAGAGATTTTCATTCAACATTCCTCTGGCCAACACATCTGCCACCTGCCAGCCCTTAAATATCAGTGTTTTTACATCTTAATCTCACAAACATCTTGGAAAATGCTCTCTCTCTTGGCCTTCATATCGGACACATCTGGCTTTTTTTTTTTTTTTCCATTTTGTAAAACCACAGAAACATAATGCTGTTTACTTCCATCAAGACCGAGCTCACTGGAGTTAAGATATATTTTCAGAGCTCAGTTCATTCTGCCTTTCCAGTTGATTCCATTCTTGAAGTGGTATTGTGAGTATATTCTCTCATTATGGAGGCCTCTAGCAAAATTAAGGAGCTCTGGTGTTAAATTACGCAAAAGCAAAATATATTGTAAAGGGAAGGATTTTTCCAGGTCAGATCCTTGAGTACAATTCTTTACTCTTTCCAGGCTAAATCACCTTTTGCTAGATGGGCTAGTACAGTGGTTCTCAACCTTCCTAATGCTGCCACCCTTTAATATGGTTCCTCATGTTGTGGTGACCCCCAACCATAAAATTATCTCATTACTACTTCATAGCTGGAATTTTGCTACTCTTATGAATCATAATGTAAATGTTTTTGGAGATAAAGTTTTGCCCAAGAGTCCCACAAGTTAAGAACCAGTGGGGTAGTACTTCCCACTAAGGGATGGTGCATGCATCTTTCTCCTGTTAATGTCCACCACGTGACTTGCTTTGGCCAGTGGGATGATTTCAGAGTCGATGGTTGCTAGTTCGGTGTCTCAGCTTCAGGAGCCCTTGTGTGTTTCTGCTATCACCACAAGACGAGCATGACCTGAATTGCCCACTAATCCCAAGACAGTGATGAGAGGGGACATGGACATCACAGAGCTCATTCAGTCACTGTCGGCCCAGCTAGTTCAAGACCTACATCTAGAGGTGGAGCTGCCCAGCCAGCTCAGTCTAGATCACCTGACCCACAGCCAACACAAAACATGAGCAGTGACAAATAGTTTTTATCCACCGAGCTTTGGATTAGTTTGTTAAGTAGCAAAAGATAAATGGTATGAGCACATGTTGGAATTACTTATTTTAACTGAAGAAAACTAATATCAGCTACTAAGTGTTGTAGAACACTGTATGCTTTTCATATAGGGCTAATTCTTAAGGTAGAGGGTTCTTTAAGACATTTGTAATAAGAAGTCTAGTATGGTGATGGATGCTTAGAACCTCAGCACTGGAGCAGCTGAGGCAGAAGGCCTGTGAGTTCAAGACTAGCCTGTGCAACATAGTGACATTATGCCTTAGAATGGAATAAATGTGAAGGAGGAAACTTAGGGGAGGTCCAGGGTTAGTGGAGGAGGTCTCATTCAGCAAACACGTCAAGTCTGAACTGTCATGTTCACAGGAGCTGATGTCACTGTGCGGCTGTAGCCTGCCCTGTCTCCAACTCCCCCACCCTTTCTATAACTGTGGTTCTCAACCAGGGATGACTTCTTCCATCAAAAGACGCTTGACGATATGATGATGACAGGACACTACTGGCATCAGCTGGATAGAAATCAGAGGCTCTGGTAACCCTGGCAACACACAGGGCAACTCACAGTGGCAAATAATAGTTGGACCCAATGTCAATAATGCCAAGGCCAAGAAATGCTATCCTTTGGTTTAAGTTCAAATATTGATTGTTTCTTCCCTCTTATAAGAATATGTCAGTTAAAGTCTGGGGAATTGTATAACAAAATTTTGTTTCTTAAATGCATAAAAAATATCCCCTTATAAAAGCCCCAGCCAACTTTTCTGCATACAATGTGCAATGCATATAAATGCTTACTTTGTTCAAAGTGTAAATGACTTGTTCACAAATGTCCCAAGCAAGAAATAGTTGACTGAAGAAAACCTTTGTTTAAATATGTCTATACGTCTACAAGTCATTACTAGTATGTCAAATTATCTGTCAAGAAAATCTCATTCCATTTCAAACATCTGTAACTAAGTAAACAAATTGGCAAAGCCATCCATTGCTGCTGAACCTCCCCTACCTCCAGGGCACTTCAGACGTACAATGTAGCATTTACAGCAGGCTGGGTGCAAGGCCATTGAATGGAATTGCTGTATTAGGACAATATCCTCTGGTGTCTCAGTGACCAAAGCCCCGTCATGATGTTCTAGAGAGTCCAGTTTAATGCTGAATTCTACCCTCAACGTTTTGGATTTGTACCAAGAAAAACAACTGATCCTCAGAACCAAGAACTGATGGGGGTCCTCAGGCGGGTGAGTCAACTGTGGTTGAAATGTGTCTGTTCCTGAGGAAAGACTGGATCTGGTTTGAAATAATGGCACTGGCAAAGATGGCCTACACACCCAAGAGGGCTCTCAATGCATTGATGCATGGGACACACTGAATGAAGGTATTTCGGAAGATGTGGGGAATTGAAAAATAGGAATTGGCAGCAAAGGAGACCCAGGATAGCCTGCTCAAGATGCGAGGGGGTGGCGCAGTTCAAATCACAGTTGCAAAGCCAGGAGTAGGCTAATATTGGCCCAGAAAGGAAAGCAATGAAATCAGAGAGTTTCCATAATCAGGATCCAAAGGACCAATGATTGCTAAAAATTGGGTTCTGTGATGACCATTCTTCGGCCATGTTCTGTGGGGAAGTCAAAGCAAGCAACTAAATTCCAAATTCCCACCGGTTTCAAGAATTAAGATATAATCAAAGCCTATAGCAAAGGAGGTCACAGACCCCAGGGAGGAATTTACTACTGATAGTCTGCTAAATGGGCACGTGGGTAGAACACCTTCTAAATAGTTGTGTCTATACCCACAGATCAGTGCTGTTGTCAACCTGGGCCAGAGAGGCTTCCTTTTGCAGAGAGCAGCTGTTAGTGCAAAAAGTCATAACTGATCAAAGTGCCGAGAATAAGTTTGATTGCTGAGTACTCAAACCCTAAAGCAGAAACCTCTATCACCTTCCCCAGGGACCATCACAGAAGAAGGAATGGAAAGTCTGCAAGAGTCAAAAGAAGGAGAGGAGCACTGTGGAATGCCATCTTAACATGACATAGTCACTGTAATCATGAACATACCGCAACAGTGACTACCTTCATACACACACACACACACACACACACACACACACACACACACACACACACAGATGAGAGGGACATGTTGGAAACAGGAAGGAGGTCAGCAGAAGTGGGAGGGAAGAAGAAAGTGTAACAGGATGAAGATGATCATAACACATTATATATACATATGAAATTGTCAAGAATAAAATTAAGACTGTGGGAAGAGCCTAACATAGCATGAAGGCTGAGGCCTTCTGGGTCTTTTAATTATTAACCTGTGGTCTAGCTTTGCTAGAAACTAGGTGTCCTTGAAGCATAAAGTGGTGGCACTTTCGTGTGGTGGTGCAGTAGACTCTGACCATGGCACTCATCAGGAAAGAAACGAAAAAACCAAATGACTTAAACTCTCCACTCCCATTTCAACCAGGAAAAGCTCCATTTCATCTGTCTTAACCATTGTGACCCTAACTGTTCATCTCCAAAAATAAATTCTGCTGTTGAATGAAGTTTGGAAAACAACTCATTAAGAGTTAGTAATCCTGGTTGGGAAGGCATATATATTGCTGAAGCAATGGAAATGATCCAACCATGGCCCAGGTGACAGGGCTCTTTAAGAGAGACCTCACAGTATATGCCTATGTGCTGGAGTGCTTCTCCCTGACTGTGTTTATTTTTGGACCCTTGTATAACTTATACTTTTAACTGGAACATTTTTAAATGAAATGGGATTTTAATGAATATTTATTGCCTAAAGCAGTGGTTCTCAACCTTCCTAGTGCTGAGACCCTTTAACAAAGTTCCTCATGTTGTGGGGACCCCCAAGCATAAAATTATTTCGTTGCTACTTCATAACTGTAATTTTGCTACTGTCATGAGTTGTAATGTAAATATTTTTGGCGATGGGGGGGCTGACAGAGGGGTCATGACCCACAGGTGGAGAATCACTGGCTTCAAGTGGGAGTCATGGCTTTGATGGCCTGAAGCAAATCAGAATAGTCATCCTGATTAAAGAGGCTACTTGGCTATGTTGACATGAGATTTAGCAGAAGCTATAAGCCTGGTTTGTAGCATTGTCATTGATGTAAATTGCTGTGGCATTCACTAAAAAGAAAATAGGAAATAAATTTATATAATTGGATTGACCACCCATACTCAGGTCTGTTTTATCCACAATGTGGGAGAGAAGGGCAACTGTGCCTTCGCTGTCTGTTTATGGCTGGCACGGCATTATGTTAGAGGCCCTCTCTACCCTCAAAGTTGAAAGCAGAGAGGGGGCAATTGGAGATGTTCCAAACGAAGTCACTAAAGAGACAAAGTAACCCAGTTTTGTGCCATTGCTTGGGGACCGTGACCAGGAACTGGTTTGTTGACGCTGTCAACACTTCTCCAGGCCTGTCACACACTCTGACTTGTAGATGTGTACATTCGTAGCCCTCCCTTTGACCACTGTTGGCCGTCACTACATCCCAATCCCAAAGCCATCCATATTCTGTTTGAGCGATAGTTAGCACATCTAACCACTTCATGGAAAAACCAACAAGAGGAAACCACCAAGTCAGGGAGAAAGTTGGCTTCTTCCAAATTCTGGCCGCCTCACACCTCGGGTCTGTTCACCGAGTTTGCCACAAAGTTCCCTCCTGACGGCCTCATTTACAGCTTTCCTTGGGCTGCCAAGTCCCCGCCCAGTAGACGTCTCCTGTTACTTCGACTCTGCTACCCACCCACAGCCTGAAGAATTCAACAGAAACCCTCAGCCCAAGCAATAGGGTGATCGGCACCAGGCCCAAATACCTGTCTACCTGTCATTCCGTGGCCACACTTGGCAGTCAACAAGAGCCAGAGCAGCCAAGTAATTATAGAGAGGGGGTGATGCTTTTCTACCTAAGTGCTTGGCATGTTGTGTCACTGGAGAACTAAGCTCCTGGAAGTCAGGAACAGAAACTGTAAGAGGTATGTGGACTAAGGCCCCTGAGTATCAAATAGTGTCTTTACTGGACACTCATATCTTGTTCTTGAATGACAGCTGGATACTTCACAGAGGGCTACGCAAAGTCAGAATAAATATTGCAAGCCAATAAGCCTCCAGCATCAGAACCAGACTTAGGTGAAAATACAGTAGCCATCTCTACATGGTAGAATCAAGGTCACTGTTAACATTCTGCTGGTATTCCTTATTTTCTGCTTAAGTATATCTGACTTTTATAGTTAAATCAACATAAATATTGATAGAAAAGTGCTGGGGAGTCAGGACTCAAATCAACCATGTCTAGTGACAAGAATCGTGTTCTTTCTGTCTCTCCCATTTACTTTTATTTAATAAACAAGTAAGCAGGGTTTAATGTGTGACAAGCACCTTTCTAAGCATGGGAAATCCACTGGCTTGTTTAAGTTTTACGTTGTACAAGGCCTGCTCACCTTATTCTATAGATGAGAAACTGAAGTGTAGAGAGCTTAAATTACTAACCCAAGATGCAGAGCTGATGAGCAGCACAATGGGATTCCTTCTAAAGCTGGCTCGATTGTGTGTGCTTCCTGGCGCTGCTAAGCTGCCTCTGCCTTCCTCTACTTCAGATAGGTTTTCTGTAGCCCTTAAATCCTTTTGTAACTTTGCCATGCCCCACAGCCAAGCCAGTGTCAGCTCAGGATAGACAGCCTGTGTTGCTTTGTTGGAGATGGTCTCACATAGTCCCAGATGACTATGGAAATCCTCCCTTTGCAGCTCAGGCCAGCCTCGAACTCCTCCTCCTCCTGGCCCCTGCCTCCACCTCCAAGTGCTGGATTATAAGCCTGCAGTCCGCATTCAACTCAAAGAAGCATTTTGAGGGAGACTACACTGGATGAACAAAGTAATCAGTTCTTGTCTCAGGGTCCTAAGATAAACATGTTGAGACCAACACACTCATAGGTATCCATAATCACAAGAAATAAAAGATGAGACAGACCCTGCTGCCTGGAAAACACAAACCCCAAACCACTTTCCTCCTCTCATCTAGCGTAGACTCAAATAAGCTCCCTGAAAATGTTTCGTCTGCTTGCTTTGTCCCTGACTCCCCTTTGTCCCTGAACTTGAGCTTCTTGGCCACTTATCTCTCCATTCCACACAGGGCATTGACATCCAAAGGGACTCAACCACACTGAACTGGATTCCCAACTTCCTTCAGGCTCCCATCTAAGGTCTCCAATCATGACACTTCCTTGCATTTGCACAGGGTTTATGTGCTACATTAAGTCCACCACCTCAATCCATCCTCCCAGTAATTTCTATCAGTCTGTGATCATCGGCTATCCATGATTTCCAAGTGGATGAAGATGCTGAAGTTCCTCAGCAGAAAGGGAAGCCCTGGTGTGTTGATGAGAAGCCAAGAGCTGGGCTGGAGAGATGAGTCCACAAGTTAAGAACACTTGCTGCTTTTGCAGAAGACCTGGGTTCGTTCCTAGCACCCAAATGGTTGCTCACAACTGTCTGTTATTCCAGTTCCAGGGGATTGAACACCCTCTTCTGACCTCCTTGAGCACCAAGCATGTACAGTATGCACATATATACATGCAAGAGAGAAAGAGGGAGACAGAGACCGAGAGTGCAAGACAGAGACAGAAGCCAAGAGCCCCTTCTTTCCTTGTCTACAATTTCTCTGAGGGCCCTTTCAAGCATATAGCCTGTGATTCTGAGAAGCCCCTGGGTGTCTGTCACTTATTAGGGCAGCATCTTTGTGAAGCTGTAGCATTCCAGCTTCCAGAAAAACTGGAGCATTCCCTTGGTTCTTGAGGACAGCAGCTCGAATCAACTCCCTTGGATCCTGAGGACAGGAGAAAGTTGTCCCTTTATCTTGCATCTTCATGAGTCTAGGACATCAGAGCCGGACATTGAGCCCAGGAGCAGACGTCAAAACTGGGCTGAATTTCCTGGGAGTTGCATCGGTTTGACCTCTTCCCTGCCTGCTTCTTGCACGCGAAGCAGGTACCATGGAGGCTGCAGACGTGGTGGGAGTGAGGCACGAAGCATGTTAGGGTAGGAAACAGCAAGATTATCTGGGTTCTGGATTGACTCCCTCCCTGGCTTTCATAGCCCTCACCTGTACCTTGTGCTGTGCATCTTAACTTTCCTTCCAGATAGTCCTTGCACATGACAAGAATCATTAACCAAATTTAAAAAAAAAAAAACTGACATAATTCAAAATGCATGGAAGCTGGATACAAATAAAGCCTTAGAAGTTGCTCAGAGCTTAGGATCAAATATGTGTATTGAGTTTGAGGCAAAAATATAGCCAGTTTCCCTGAGACAATCCTTACTTACACCTGCTGCCTGGGGGTCATGTCATGTTATTTTACTTTATTTTGGATGTTTGAGACAGAGTCATGTGTAGCCCAAGCTGACCTCGAACTTTCTTTGCAACCACGGATGGCTTTGAACTCCTGATCTTCCTGCTTCCACCTCTGGAGTACTGGGATACAGGCCAGTGCCACCATATCTGGTGCCCGGTATGATTTTTTAATAGTCCTCCTTTTCATTCACAGACATTTCCTGTAAATAATAGGGATACCGTCCGTGACTATGATGGCAGACCAGGGGCTTCCATGTTGCAGAATGTATATGCTGAAAGACAGGCCAAAGAACTCTCAACTCATCCTGCCCAAGCTAGAAAAGCCCTCAGAAACATCATGACAAGATTGTCACTCACAGCTTCACAAAGATTTCAGCTGCATCATGCGTCCGTTTTTGCCTCTGTAGTTCACAGCCCTGGGACTCTTCATTGAGCAGAAGAAGGAGAATAAGTTGCCATGATAACTCAATCACGTATTGTAGAGATCCTGAAAGAAAGAGAAGGCTTATATTGCTGAACCCCAATTATGTGTCAGACCCCGAGATGAAATGCTTTCCCTCCTTGTAAGGACAATGTTGAGGAACGAGTTCTTCCCCCTTTTAAGAATAAGAAAACAGAAGGTGGAGAGGCACAAGCTACCATAGGCTGGGGTTCAAACTCTGAGCTTTCTGACCTAGAGGCCCATCACTTATTCTTATCAGAGCCTGAGGCCACGCGCCGCCCCCCCCCATCTTCTCCCCTCTATCCCCTCTTCACTGCTGCTTGAAGTGGGGAACCAAATGATGTGGCAGATAACTTTCACCCCTCACACCAGACATCCTCTCCCACAGCCTGTCAAATCAGGGGAGTGCACTTTGTCAGTGAAGGTAAAGACAGCACCACCAAAGAAATTCTGCTAAAACCTACCTCTCACACTCAAAGGCCTATTTTGTCCCAGCCCAGATTTAAAATGAAACGACACTGAAGAATGAACAAAGCTGTTAATCATTTTCGTGTTCTCATTCATTTTGAGGGAAAGGCAGCCGCGGTGAGAGTAGAGGAAAAGCGGGAGCTGGGGAGCTGCTGGCTGCCCTGGAGTGACACTGTGGGGGGGCTTGCATTTCCTGCCTGTCACGTCACTTCAGAGTAATTGTTCTCTTCAGCAAATACTCTCCAGAGAGAGAGTTTCAAAAGACACGTTCTCCTGTGACTGGCCATGGCGCGTATCTGATGCCCTAAGAAGAATTTATCTGTCTCTGTAATTCTAAGAAGAGCTTCCCAGGCATGTGGCAGGTGGGAGTGGACAGAGTGCCAAGAGAGTTACCCCCAAAAGGGGCAGCAGAGGAAGCAACCGACTAGCTGACACCCACAGAGCTGCTCAGTGACATCTTGCTGAGGTTCAGGAGTGAAGTCAAAGGACAACGTGATGGAAAACTGACTTTGCTTCTTCTGGCTGTAACAAAATAGCTCAGGCTAGGTAATAATAAATGGAAGCTTATTTGACTCACAATTTTGGGTTCTGGGATAACCAAGAGCATGGTAGGGCTTCTGGTAAGTATATCTTTGCTATATCCTAACATGGTAGAGGGCATCACACGCCAAAACATAGCTTGAGTTTTCTTCCATTTATAAAGCCGCCGGTGTCATCATGGGGGCCTTGCCCCCATTACTTCATCCGACATCAATTGCTTCCCAAAGGCAACATCTACAAATGCCATTAACATAAGTGTTTGAGGATTATGTTTCCAACGTAGGAACTCTGGAGGAACATGCTCACACCATAGCACCTTATTCAATAAAGTCTGAGGAGGACATGAGGGGCTGAGAGAGAGGCAGAATGATGAAGAGCCATACAGAAGTGTGAGGGGAGGGGAGGGAAGCAGAGGAGTGAAATGCTCAGGGTGGGAAGGGTCAAGCAGGAAGGGGTGCAGGAGCGTGGGAGAAACCAGAGAGCTAGAGGAGGGTTCACTCAAAGGAAGGGTACATGAAAAAGGGGTATGGAAACCTACTCTATCGTAACCCAGTTATAAAATAGAATTGGAAGATAGTAGAATATGACATGAAAGAAGAATAAGGAACGCTGGGGTTAAAGATCAGATAGCAATAAACGTTAGAAGATGGAAGAGTGGATAATTTAACCAAAACTCAGCATCTATGCTAAAGCCTTATAGAAACCTACTAGTTAGTAAGTGGATTTCTAAATAAAACTTTTGGAAAAAGAATTAGGAAAGTTTCCTTCACGGGTAGACAATGTTGCTCCCAGAAGGCATGGGTTACTAAGTGAAAAATCACAGTGAAGAAAAGAGATACCTCCCTATAAATTATTGTCAGGAAGACCCAAGAGTGCTCCAAAACAACGCAGGCTATTGCCATTGTCCTTGGTTATTCACCATAACTACCCAGTAAGACCTGACTGGTGGAGACACCACACACTCTGGCTGCAGGACACAGAGAAATCAATCACAAACCAACCAGGACACGCCCTCCCTCTGACTAGCTTTCATACTGCCAGAAGGTGCTATGCCAATCACTAGGGGGAAAGACAACAATGGTCTTACCCAGCTCTAGACCCTGTATGCTATAATGCTGATCTGCCAGATGTGCCCAATGGTGCAACAGAGGCAGGCACCACTGAATAACTGTTCTCAATTAGATTTGAGGGCTGCTTCTCAGAAGCGAATTTGATGCCTGGTACTGAAATACTGGTCAAAATCCATGGCTAGGCAGGTCAGAGACCCTAGGGTAGAATCTGCTAACACTATTTTGCTCACAGGTCATACCACCAAATTGTCTTCTAAACATGTATGCTTATACCCAGATGCCTGGGTTACTTTTAACGTTCATCAGAGAGGCTTCTTTTTGCAGTGGGCAGCAGTCAGTGCATAGACATGTAACTGGTCAAAGTGCTGGGAATAAGAGGCTGTGGGTGCTTATCCCTAAGTAAGACATCTTTGCCAACTTCCTCCTCTTCCACCAAGGTTCAGGGAACATCGAAGAGGAGAAAGAAGGAGGAAGGAAGAGCTGGGGCATGGGAAAGAGTGTTGTGAAACCCTGTCTTCTGGACATGACAGAACTGTTGCGCTCATGAACTCACAGCAGCTGTGGTTACCTGCACAGCAGCTATACAAAACCAAGGCAGCCAAATTCCTGCACAGGTGCCAGGTGCGCTCTCCAGGCCCCACCCTTTAATGAGGAGCTGTTGACAGTTGATGGCTGCTGGAGAAGAGAGACTCTGCCCCCTTTGAGGGTGTGACCACTGATAGATTTCCCAAGCTTCAGAGAATCACCCCTCACCCATGGGCATAGGGACAACAGTAACTGGACTGAATGGGCTATCATATACACACAAAAAGAAGACCTGAAGTTTGTAGGAGGACATATTGGGTAGAATACAGGAGGATTTGGAGAGGAGAAATAGGGGATACGTAGGATCATATTCCATTGTGTGAAATTCTCAAATAATTTAAAAATATAATACAAAAATATACATGGAAGTTTGAATATATGCATGAATGGTTATAGGTTCTAAAATATGTTCTACAGATATTAATTCAATACATTATCACTTAGTACCTGCCACATGAAGGTAGGCAAGACAAATGTGGTTCCTAGCTTGATGAAATGTGCAGTATCATCTCAGACCCTGTATGTCTCATACCTAAGTCCCACCAGGAGGCAGGATGTGTAGTTGGAAGTTTTCCTGTGGCAAATCTCTCCCACTCGCATCCCCCAAATAAACACACAGAGGCTTATATTAATTATAACTGCTTGGCCATTAGCTCAGGCTTATTACTGACTAACTCTTACACTTAAATTAACCCATAATTCTTATTTATGCTTAGCCACATGGCTTGGTACCTTTTCTCAGTTCTGCCTTGTCATCTTGCTTCCTCTGTGTCTGGCTGGTGACTCCTGACTCTGCCTTTCCTCTTCCCAGAATTCTCCTTGTCTGCTTGTCCTGCCTATATTTCCTGCCTGGCTACTGGCCAATCAATGTTTTATTAAATCAGTATACAAAAGCATTATCCCACAGCATTTCCTCTTTTCTGGTTAATTAAAAAGGCAAGTTTTAACTTTAACATAGTAAAATTATATATAACAAACACTTATCAAGCAAGAATTACAGTTACAATATCTAGTCTATTTATATTTAGCAAGTTCAAAAAAATATTCTATTTATCCTGTATTTATGAGTCTAAGGTTTCGTATCTAACTTATCTTTTATCATGACTAAGCAAAACTATTATAATTATAACTCTCTAATCTTCAACTACATCAAAGACCCCAGAAGGATGTAATATTACCTAAGTAAACAGGAGAGCAGTGTAAGCAATTTCCAAAAATCTAGAATGACAAAGAAAGCTGGTTGCCTGGACAGTCACCCAGTGTTCTTCTGTAACGTTTGGGCATCCATCTTCAGCCTATAGGCCTAGAGTCTCTCAGTCACTTTTTCCTGTGTCCTATAGAATGTCTGGCAGTTTCTTCTGCAAAGCAGGAACCTGAAGGACCATCTTGCCTTGCAAAGTTGAGTGATCACCTTCCTATGGGTCCTGCATGTCCAGCTTATATAACATATTGTCAATCAGTTTATGCAAGGGCACTTTTTTGCCCAGTGGCTAACTTTAGCCACAAAGAAAGCAAACTCCATATGAGTTTATTTAATGCCCATCATTCTCCTTGAAGTAATTGGTGCTGCCAGGAGCAGATGTGTCTCATTGTCCAAAAAAGTCTGTTTTAAAAACATTTAAATGCCATATTCTGTAGGTCTTTGAAGTGTTTGAAGATGACCTGTCTGTCTAAAATATATCTCTACTTGACCTTGAAAACATACCTAATATGACTACAAGTTTGATTATCATGGATGACTAATTATTAATCTGTATTTCTTAGTTATACATTACAATTTTAAGTCAGCTTAACATAATACCTTAAACAAGAGTATAAATATATATAGTATAACAAAATTAACTTTAAATTTGTATCAATAAACTATAATCCATAGCAATATAAAACATTTTAAGCAAATTATTGCTCTTTAAAAGTAGATTCAGGGCTGGAGAGATGGCTCAGCCATTAAAGGCTAGGCTCATAACCAAAAATAAAAGTAGATTCAATAATCTACCCTTTTATCCTATCATATCTATATCCTATATTTCTATATCATTTTCCCCCTTTCTTCTTTTAGAAAGAGATTGACTATGACCAATAACAATTTTTAACCAACAACCTAAACAAAGACAAACATCCATAATCCATTTTTTTGGGAATGTGGCCATAGTTTTCTAGGTCACTTTCTCCTGATATGGGGTGCTGGTAGTCTTATGGGGATCCTGAGAAAATTCGGAATAATGTCCTGGGAAGTCCTAGGAAGACCGGCTATAACCTTCTGTTAAGGTTCAGGAGGTCTGGCTTGATCAAATCTGATCCATCTTAACCTGGAACAAATCCATAGGTTCTCATCTTCTGTGGAAACAAAAGCAGAACCTCTTTTCCAAAGCAACATATCCT